GAAGAAAGAAAGTGCCCAGACTCCCTCCTAAGCCTCTATTTAGTGGGGAGCAAAGTGGGGCGATAGAATCCGTTGGACTGTTTACCAAACAAACTGTGGAATTTCAGAACAGAGAGATGCGGACACCATGTGGCTGGATCTGAAGGACTGGGTCATGTTCATGCTGTCTTCATCAATCGCAACAGGACAAGAAGGAAAATCACATTCGAGCATTCACACAGTCAATTTTCTTCCTTAGACCTTTGTGGTTGACAAAGGCATGCATGCATGTTTATCAGTAAATGAAAACTCTGAAATTATATATACATATTATATATACATAATTTATTAAATTATATATATGTATATTTGCTTTGTATTTCTGCAAGCTGAGGGTCATATATTAAGTTCCCTTCTAAGAAATGTATTACCCTTGATTCCCCAAAACCTCTTTTCCTTCCTGAAATTTCCTTTTTTCTCTGTTTTGAGTGTGTATATTCTATTTAATCTGAGTCTCCTTGAACACATTTTGGGTAGAAATGAAGAATGAGGTGTCAGTGAGTGAGGGAGAGAGGTTTTGGTTTCGGTTTCACTCCCCTGGGCCATAGTGGCTGCTTCATCAAGCCTAAATTAGTAACTGCAGTCTAGTGACTCAAGAAGGGTAGTTAATCAAAATGTTAAATTTAGCTTCGGGTTTGTACCTACAAACGTGTGTGATGTTCTTGGAATTCACTTAAAGCCCAACAGCAAAGGGATGCTGTTGGACCTACAAGGAATTGGCAGTGTCTGCTCACACCGCCATCCTATCCCTTGTGAACAGAGTTTGAACCCTAGGCAGGTACAAGGCTGAGCCTCTGGGATGCCTTGCCAGGTTTCCGGAGGTCAAAAGATGTACAGAGGCAGTCCTGCTGTCAACAAAGACATATTAACTGAAGTATAGAGGTTACCCGATATACCGCTACCCAGATAGTCAAAGGCGAATTGCATTTTCAACTCCCTCAAAGGAACCTTTCACCACAATGAAGAATAGCCCTACTTTATATTGTCTCTATTGCACCTGGGCCTCAGTGTTCCTCAAGGTCTGCTGTTCAAACACTGTTGTAAAAGCTTGTGAATATTCCTGGGGTCTGTGGAAAGGCTCTTCTGCTGAGACGAGGAAGGGCCTGATTTCTCTCTTCCCAGCGTTTTTGTGGCTCTAGGGTTGGTATGGACTTTTCCGGGGACAAATGAGAGAACTTATCCCTGAGGAGTGTGAAGGAAGATGGGGCCTGGAGAGCTTCTTTGGGGCACCAAGGTGCTACTTCTCAGGGAGAGAACTCCTTCACACACACACACACACACACACACACACGCACACACACACACACATACACACACTCATATGCACACTTACTGACAGACTTAGATTCTGCTACTGACTCAGACATGTGCACACACAGGGCATTCTTGGGCTGAGTTCCATTATTTAACTCCTTAGAGAGCAGAGATGAGGTCACAACTCAGTGTCCTGCCCCTCCTTGCTTCTCCCCAGTGAGCAGGATCAGCCTGTGGCTTTAGGATTCAGTGTCTCTCAGATAGGAGGCAGTCCCATCTACAGCTGGGAGACAACCTAGCCAGCTTTGTAAGATGTCATTGTCATTGAGCTTCTACTAAAACAGGTCTCTTCCTTCTTGGAAGCCTTCATTTTTCTAGAGGCATGACCTCTACTGCCTGGTGTGGGCGCTAGGCCTAGCAGTCAATGTAAGACATCGGGAGCTGGGTGTGAGAAATGCTTCTGATTTTCATTATTGTTACATTTGATTCTGGCCCTAGCATCTCCCTGGGTTGCCCTAAAACCAACTGCCCGTAGAAGAACTTTGTCTAGGGTTGCTATGTACAGTGATGGGCATTGTGCTCTGCTCAACCCTGAAGAACATCTCCATTGTTATAGATGCTCTAAATTTGCAAATTCATTTGAATAATTTCTGACATTTAGCACTAAGATGTGTTATTCCAATAAAGTAAATATATTATGATAAATTTTCTGAGGAGTGAGAGTGAAGGGTTAAGAGGTCCAAACGATTCAAGGTTGTTACATGGACAGTGGCAGACTTTCCCTGTTCTGCAGGGAAGGCCAGGGCACCAGGGCCAGTAATCAGGCTCTGAATTCTCTGACCAGAGCATGAAGGAATATGTGGTTCTTTGAAATGGCTGATTGGTGGCTTTTGGCACTGTTCATTCATTATTTCACTCCACCTTTGGGGGGAATGTTTTTAATACTTTTCCTTTTTTTTCAGCACTGTGTCCTCACCTGGTGACAGCGTGTCTCCTGTCCTGAGCTCTGAGGAAGCTGAGTCTCCTTGTCTCTCTCTCAGAGCAGCAGTATCAGCAGCCATACCAATAGCGCCCAGGGCTTTGCTTTCCCTGAGGTGTGATGCCTCAGGGACGCTAGCAAGCCATAAAGGGGACATCACACTCTCACGCTGCAGCTTCCAGGGCATCGCCGTATGGAGAGGACAGAGATGAGAAAGACTCAGATTCTAGAGAGGTAGATTTTCTTTCATAAGCCTGCCTGCCAAGGCTTATAGGCTGGACACAGGGCCAGAAGAAACAGGAAGAAGATATAGGGAGGATGAAAAGATGGTCATAAAACACAAAAAAAGGAACACTAAGGGGGAGACAAACCAGGAAGGCATCAGGATCAAAGGCCCAGTGTGCATGTGTATGTCTGTGAAAGAGACAGACAGACAGACAGACAGACAGCCGGTGAAGAGGGGTAAGGGAAGAGAGGAAAGGAGGGATGGAGTGGGAGAGGGAGAGAGAATGGGGAGAAAGGCTTGGAAAAGGGGTGGGAGGGCACAGGAAATTAGAATCGCTTCCCAACCACTGAGGGCTTCTCAGGGAGCTGTGTTTATTTATAGGCAAGGACACTGACTGTCCCTCAGCCTAGAGTCAGGAGTCTCCTGCTCTGTGAAATTGTACCAGTGTGAGAAGCAGCCACAAGAGGCTCCCATCAGTGCTTCACCAGATGTCCCACCACTGGGGCAGAAGGTGAGGGAGACAGAGTATCTCTTTCTGACCAATTTTCCCAATTTTTGAAAAGAGGTCACACATGGTAAAAAGTGCTTTGGAACGTGAGGGAGAAGGCCCGACTCAGCTACCTGTTATTCTCTGTGTGGGGTTCCCCATATATGAGACTTAGCAACATGAACTACTAGGTTCCTAAATAGGAGGGAATCATAGAATATAGTTCAGCTGCCAGTGGCCAAGTGATCCTGGGGGGTTTCCTCATCAGCCCTGAAACTCAGGGCTCACGAAGAAATCATGAGACAAAATGACCCCCAAAATCTCTGTGAGAGCCATCCCTCTGTGACTCCAGAACGGGAATTAAACACTGAGTGAGACAATTTTAGAGTCTGCCGACAGTGCTGCACATTCACTAAATGTGAAAAAGAGCCACATGAAACAAATCACTTCACATGAAAAGAATCAAATATGGCGTCCGTGTAGAGTTTTCACATTTTCTTGTCCCAGGTCTCCTGACTTTATGCACACACCCTTTTCTTATGAGATGTGAGCCAGGAGTAGGGAGCAATCTGTCACAGAACTGGTCAAAGCAGTGTCTTGGTTTTACTTAGGATTCTGACTGCTCTTAAAAATAGAACCATTGGAAAATGATCAACTTCTCTGTGTTGTATGAAATCTCTCCCATCCGGCAGCTGCTAATGCCCACATATCTCCAAGATCCCTTCCAATGAAGCTCATGAATTTTTTCTTATGCGTATGATCATTCCCAAGTTCAAATGAGGCAATTAACCTTTACCATGAGTAGAAGGGCAAAGACAGATGCCATATAGCTGTGTTCCTGAATCAACCCCGGTGCCCAGACAGCAGCCATCATTTACTGAGGTCCCACTGTGTGACAGACCTACCTGGGTCCCAAAGGCTAAGCCTGAGGTGGGCCATGGTGGGCAGCCACCAGGTCTTGGCTTTCTCAAGTGGGGTGTTCAGACTGAAGGTAGTACATGTTTAGGAAAGTGAGTTGAGCAAAGAAATAGGAAAGAAAATAACATCACAATAGGAAAAGGAGAGTAGTTTAAAAAATTAAACTACAGATGTACAGTCCTCTCCAGCTTGGCTTTAGTAGAAAAATCAGAAATCTCCTTCATATACCAGAGAGGCAAAGAATGCTGATTATTGGTAAAACTTTAGTGGTCACAGAATCTAATGCTTCCTTTTGATGGATCAATAAATCTATGGCATAGGGTAGCTTAAACCCCCTACCCCTAGTTTATGTTACAATCTTGATTAAAATTACTAACAAAAGCCAAGGGAAATTATTTCAAGTATTTATAGCTTCATAGAAACTGTCCTCCAAGTGTCCATTTCTGTATCTGTGATAGAACAGATGGATGGACAGGAAGACCTATAACTTCCTGTCCAACTCTAATTTCCAGGGTTTCTTACAAGGCATCTGAACATTCCAAAGTAACAAACCAGGCTTTAAGGATGGAGATCCTGGCACTGTTCTGAGCTGTGGAGATTATTCTGCTGTGTGAGTGGCTGAACCTACAAACCATTCCTCCCAGCCTCATCCCTGGGGAAGAGGAGAGTTACCTGTCACCAGCTATTCTGCTGAGCAGGGGCTCCAGCCAGCCGGGGTGGCACTCGCAGTGGGTATCCATGAAGACCAGCACATCCCCTGTGGCTCTGGTGGCACCCAGCATCCGGGCCCTGATGGTACCCAGCCTCTTGGTGCTCCTGAGCAACTTCACCCCCTCCAGTTGGGCCACATATTCGCTGAGAGCAGACTTGAGTTGTCCTGGAATCAACAGGGCTCTGGTCAGTGGGGGTTACAGAGGCCACAGCCAACAGGATTATGAAGACTGTCTCTAGGTCACCATCTTAGAACCCATGGTGAGGCACAAGGGGCCTAAAACTCAAGTGCATCATGATGGCATTGTTGCTCAGAGCCAAAATGCTTCCTCCACTTAGATGGGGCATGCTGCTGTCTGCTAGAACCCAGGAGGGATTGTGTGCAGAACTAGGACAGGACAGAGCTTGCTCACATTCCCCCAGTGACAGAGAACACCATCCCCTAGCAACATCAAGTGCTCCTGGATGCCTGGCTCGAGCTCTGCTTCTGGGAATCCCTGGCTAAAACAGTGGCCAAGGAAGTTAAAGGAGTGGGGCAGGGCATTAAGTTTGGCAGCTGGTAAGTCAGTGAGGTGAAGGGGTCACATTGCAGGGGTTGGTGAGTCTGTAGGCAAAGGATTGCTTCGAGAGCTGTGTCTCTAGGCAGATGCAGGAGGACCGAGGCTGTCAGCCTCACCTGGAAGCCCCACACCAGACTCCTGGGAGCTTCCTTCTGACTGTCACAGGCTCTCTGCGGGGAAACGAGGTCCGGCGCAGCAGTCACAAGGATCTGCAGTTCATTGGCCACACAGATCCCCAGTCTCTTGGCTGTCATCTCTGAGGGGTGAAGTGTGCTGCTTTCCTACTTTATAGTAATTACTCTTCTGGCTAAGTTATCAGTCCCAGCCCACTCCCTAGACAGGATCCTCTATTAGCCAAGCAATTAAAATTTCTGAATCTGCACATCTGAGAAGCAGCCTTTTATGAGTCTGCTGAATTGAACAGTGTTAATCATCTTCTCCAGGGGACAGTGAATGTTCTCCCTTCCCCTCCACTAGCAGAACTTTGATTCTGTCTCAGGAGGCCCCAAGTGCCCATCTCCCAAGTTCCTCTTTCTGCTGGCAGATGCTCTGGGAGAACAATCATAAACGAAAGGATTCTGGGAAACTCATTAGGAGTCTGTCTCATTTTAGCATGTGTCTGACAACTGTCAGGGCCTCGGCCCACCCCAGAGAGCCTGAAGGACACCCAGAGCTACCTTGCTGGCTGA